CCATCCAGAATCAAAAATGATATATCACCAGATCCAGGGGAGCCAAAAACCCAAAGCTCCATCTTGCTAGGGTCTACCTGAAGCAGCTGAAGTCAGTTCCTGCCCATCCAGATCTCACAGCTTCCAGGCACTTGGTCAGCATTATGACATCATCTGCCTGGCGATGGATGATACTGCACCCCATGCCAGCAAATGACCTCGCCCAATGGTTTCATGTAAATGTTAAAGAGGAGAGGAGAGAAACTTGAGCCCTGAGGGATCCCGTATGCAGTGGCATTAGGTTTGACCTCTACCCCACAACACCAAATGAAACCAGCCCTTGGAGAATGACTGAGTTCACCCAATGTGGTAAGTTAAAACCAATCAAACCATATTACAGCTTTCCATGTTGCAATGTATATGATTCCAGCTACTCAGTTGCAGGGCTTTTTCAGTTACAGGTGCCAAATACTGGAATTTGCTTCCCCTTGAAATTATGGTGTATGTGAAATGCTAAAACAAAGGAATAAACACAACCCTATTACAATTCAATTTTAGCTTAATGGATTTACCATGGCATAAACTTCCAAGGACTAGATTCTAATTTGAAGCAACAGGCTCTAGTCCCTAAAAGCTTAAACCACAAACTAGCACCTATGCATTTACCTAAAAGCCCCACTGAGCATAGCAGGGCTCTGAGTAAACACACCCAGCAAGTCTGTTAAGGCTTTCTGGCTACACTCTTGTATGAGCTTACCTAGGAGGAAGTCCCAGAGAATTCAAGGCAGCTTACCCAGTTTGCCAGAAAACCTTTTCCTGCAGTGCCACATTTCAGAATGTGGCATGCAGTCCATCACCCTTTGTCGGCCTGGTAGCCTCCAGATGGGTGGGGACTACAACAGCCAGGTCATGGTAGCCTTTTCGGGGAGTTGCAGTCCCCACCTATCTGGAGACCACCTTACTGGGGAAGGCAGAAGGAGGGTAAGGAAAGCGCGATCTCAGGGGGCATCAGTAAAAGCAACGGCGGAACATGGTTCACTGCCCACCCCGCCCGGTGGAAGCTCGCCCCCGACTCACTCGAAGGCGAAGAAGAGGCCGCTGGTGACCACAATGAGGCCGACCGTGAGAAGGAAGACGCTGCTGTGCCGCGCCAGCATGAGGCGCCCGCCACAATAGAACCGGTTGCGCCCGGGGAAGACCTCCCACTTGCGGCGGGGCCGGGGAGTCGGAGTCGCGGGGGTGGTGCTGGGGGCGGGGGGGGCGGGGGGCCGGGGGGCGGGGGGGGCG